ACTCAGGACCTTATGCTTGCAAGAAGGCAGGAACTGGAATCACTGAGCTAAATCCCCAGCTATCCTTCACAACTCTTAAATCATCTGTCATTTTAAATTGTGACAGCTGGGATTGACACATTCCTACCGGTTTGAACCACTCGGTACATGCATGACTGTTCCATTGGATGGCAAGGGACAGTCCCATGGTACTGAAACAGGAGATTAAGGTGTGGCAAAGCTGGCTGGGGGAGTAGGTGTGATCTGTTAATTACAGTAAATCCCTGAGGTAAGAACAAGGTCCATTCCAGGACAACGGTTTTTAAGGCATATTCATCCATAATCTGACAAAGTGAGTCTTATACTGTACACCTGTGAAAGTTTCCAACTCAAATGTTTGTAAGTCAGGGACTTACTGTACAAAATCCCAGGATGCATGTACAGAACAGTTCCCAAATCTCTGCACTTGCACTTCTCTGGAGAACTCAAGCAGGCTTTCCATAAGACAGTCTAGACAGGCCACATTGCAGTCTTTTGGGGGTTTGTGAGGTTTTTGTTTGTTTGTTTGTTTTTGTTTTTGTAGGATAGGGCCTTACTACCTATGTAGTTCAGAATGGCCTTCAACTCACTATGTAGCCCAGGCTGGCCTCAAAGTCAAAGTGATCCTCCTGGCTCACCCTCTGGGACTGTGCATCACCACAGCCAGCCACATAGAGTTTTTGCCAGTGTGCTCTATCTTGCCTATGGGCTCACCCTCACGCTGTAGGATGTACTATTTTCCTATTTTTACTTGGCCCAAACTTGCTCTGCAGAGCCAATTTCTTTTCCTACCTTTAATAAAATGTTGCTACTCCTTACACTTGTCTTGACCAATTCTTTGCTCAGAACAGAGAGAACTAGAAGCGCCTTCAGAAGGAGACTCCAGCACCTCAAAACTGGGTAACACTACAAGCTGCCTGATGGGACAGTCACTTGGGTACACCTTGTCATGAATATGCTAAGGGCCTGGGCCTCCCCTGCCGGCAGGACCCACTTTCTGTATATGTTCAGTGCCCAGGGTCGGGAGGTTCATGGTGCCAGGTCTAGGCTTGCGGCCCGTCTTTCCTGACCTGGGTCCAGATGTTCTACACTGCAAGAGTCAAGTGGGCCAGGGATTTAGCTCAGTGGCACTGCATCTGCCTCGAAAGCAGAAGGTCCTGAGTTCGAGTCCCAGTACCAAAAAAAAAAAAAAAAAGAGTCAAGCTGCCCAGTCTGAGCCTCATCTCTAACATGAGAGGGTCAGAATTCCATCCCTTCCAGCAGACACTATTCAGTGTCCACAGGAAGTCGCCATCCCCCACCAAACAGCTGCTGTGTGTGCCCGGGGTCTGCTGGTGCTTTGGGGACTGTGACTGGGGATTGGACAGCCACAGCCCCTGGTCCTCATGAGGGTGAGGGGGCGATCCTTGGTCAGGCATCTGGGCTGCCGCCTGCGGGAACCAGGGGAAAGCTGCCCACAAGGGCTGGCTGGGTGCCGGGAACTTGTTCTTTCCATTTAGACAGACACTGGCTGTCTGTTGAGGTTCTGGGAACAGCTGACCTTTTGCAGGGCATCCCTAGAGCTGCTTGCTGCTTTCTGTAAATGATTTAACCCTTTCTGGAAATGAAACTCTTACAAGAACAAAAGGGCGGGGAGGGAGGTGTGTGTCTGTGGGAGGGGGGTGGAGAAAAAAGAGGAGGAGGTCAGTTTCTAAGGAACCAGACAGATCTGTTTGGCCTGCTGTGTTGGCTGGGGAGGTAGATGGAGCCTGCAGGGAGGGACTGGAGGAAGAGGCTCCGATTGAGGGCAGCCTGGGACTGAAAGGAGCGTCCTGGGGAAGGATAGAGATGGGGCAGGGCTGGAGGTGTCTGCTCCTCTGAGTGAGCAGCCCTGTACCGTGCTCCTTCATGGACCTACAGCTACAGATGTGTGGAGGGGCTGGCGGCATGGCGTCCGGCAGACCCAGACAGGCAGATCCCCCGCCCCCCGCCTTGTGGAGAGCTAATTGTCAAATACAGGTGCTAGGAGCAAAATGTGGCTTCCCTGCACCTCTGGATTCCTTGTCTGGACTATGAATTAAATTGAAATAAAACAGATTAACAGGAGAACATCCAGGCCTGGGGGTGCAGCTCACTGGTACAGTGCCCCTGAGTTCCATCCCCCGAACCACTGGGTACGAGTAGGGTAGGGCATCTGGGGCTGGCGGGGACACAGGTTATGGTGGATGAGGGGAGGAGACACAGTGAGTGAAGTTTGTCCTGAGATCCAGAGGACACCTGAGTCTGAGCACCCTCTGAAGACTGGGTGACAGTCAGTCGGGGCCTGGTGTCTGGTGACACTTCCCTGGTGGATCAGATTCCTGGGGAGGGGTCAGGAGAAAATTAAATTCCTTTGGGAAGGACTTTGCACAGAGAAGGGGAGCTCAGAAAAGGCTTCTTGCTGCCTTTGCTGATCCCCAAGTGCCGTGCATTTCAGGTAACCCACCCACAAGAGCGGTGCATTTCAGGGCCTTTCCCAGAGTTCTTCAGCAGCTAAGTCCCGGAAGAAGAGCTTTGGCTAGGAAATCAGGAAATCGGGTGTTTTCCTGAGATGCCCTTCAGCAGGGTTTAAAGCTCTGCTGATGCAGGAGGTAGGGCGTGGCAAACTGGCTGGGAAATGGGTGGGATCTGTCAATTACAAAATCCCAGGACAGCACCAAATAATTAATTCCCAGGACCCCATATGTGAAACTTCTCATGAGCTCCCACATGCGGATGGCATAAAAGACATCAGATACCACAAGGAGCCTACTATTGTGACTCCTCGAAGTAGCCCACTCTGCGTGATGCAGAGTGCACTTTTATTTTTACTTTGTTCTGTTTTTTGTTTTTTCAGACAGGGTCTTGCTGTGTAGTCCAGGCTGGTCTTGAACTCAAGAGTGTCCTCCTGCCTCAGCCTCCCCAGTGCTGAGATTACAGGCATGCACACCATGCCCAGCCCCCTTTTTAAAGTGGAGAAGCTGGATGGTGTCTGAAAGCTTTGGGAAGAAAGCAGCCAAGAGGGAAGGAGTGGGGCCGAGGCCACTGGGCCAGTTCCTGGGGGTTGCTGTAACCACTGCCTCCCTCAGGCTGGAATCACCTTGAGTCTTACACAGGTGCCCCACCACCCCTGCAGCTGCCTGAGAGGCCGGAGGGGAAGGGCTCTGCCCAGGAAAGCTTTGGCCTATCAGCTTCCCAGCAGGGCCCTTTCAGCAGGGTCTGACAGGCAGAAAGGGCTTCGATTTGGACTTTGGGTGTGAGGGGTGAAAGGAGCTTTCCAAAGCCCGGAGATACTAAATCTATGAAGTAACAGGCATCCGAGGGCAGGCAGTGTCATCAGTAAAGCCTATGCTGAGCATGCTTAGGGTCAAACTCCAGCAGTCATAAAGCAAACAAAACAAAACAAAAAAAAACAACTAACATTAGACAGGGCAGACAAAATAATTTACAAATTCATTATGTGCACAGGAGCATCACAAGAAAAAACAGGTACCCCCACAACCCAGTGGAAAAATTTGTTTTCAATCCCGAGGATTGAACTCAAGGCCTCACACTGAGGTATCTCCTCAAGGTCCTGTTAAATTACTCAGGGTGGACTCCAAGTAGAAATCCTCCTGCCTCAGCCTCCCAGGGTGCTGGGATTAAAGGCATTCACTGCTATGCTGGGCTGACCCATGGAAATTAAAACCTTATTTGCTCCCTTTATAGAGAGGAGAGGTAGATGTAGGACCCTTAGGAGACAGGAAGTGATTGTGAGGAGAGAACTAAGGGGCCCTGAAGAGCAGGTACTATAACCTGAGCCAGTCCCTCTGGGACAGGGTGTGCACCTCTGGTCCTCTTTCCCATGATATGTGTGAGTCACTTCCTGGTAACAAGGTTCTGGCAGACAGGGTCCAAGACAACTGAATTCTTTCTGGAGGACACAGTCTCAGGACAGATCTACATAGTGATAACATTTATCATAGGGAATTTTTATCTGTACATGATATATCTTGCTTCTTCTGTTTTCCCTTTCCCCCCGCTCAACCTCTCTTTCTCTCCTCACATACAAAAGCTTTGATTCCATTTTTTCCTTCTACTTTCATTTTTTCTTGTCCCTTCTTTCCTTTCTCCCTTCTCCCTCCCTTATTCCTTTTCTCATTTGAACATTTTCTCCCCATATCCCAATATCTATTATACATTTTAGTCCCTATTTCCACTTTCAGTTTCTCACACCAGAGAAACAATGCAGTACTTAAACATGTGTGTCCAATTTACTTCACTTAAGAGTATGGTCTCAAGGTCCACCCATTTAGCCATAAATGGGGTTGGGGATTTAGCTCAGTGGCACTACACTTGCTTTGCAAGTGTAAGGTCCTGAGTTTGAGCCCCGGTACCAAAAACAAAACAAAACATTTAGCTATAAATGTCTGAAGCTCATCCTTCTTTATGGCAGAGTAGTACTCCATTGTAGAAAAAATCCACAACTTCTTTATCCACTCATTGATTGAGGGGCATTTGGGCTGCTTCCAAGACTTAGCTATTACAAACTGTGCCACTATAAACATGGGTCTGCATCTATCACTGTGGTATGATGCTTTTAATTCTTTTGGGAAGATACCAAGAAGGGAAATAGCTGGGTGAATGGAACCTCTAGTTTTAGTTTTTTGAGGAATCTCCACACTGATTTCCACAGTGGTTGCACCAGTCTACACTCCACCAACAGTGGAGAAGGGTTCCTTTTTCCCTACAGCCCTGCCAACATTTGTTATTGGTTGATTTCTTGATTGCAGCCATTCTTTCTGGAGTGAAATCTTTCTAGAGTGGAATCTCAGCCTTTTTTCATTTGCATCTCTTGAATGACCAGTGATGTTGAATATTTTTTCATATATTTATCGGCCATTTCTCCTTCTTCATCTGAGATGTATCTTTTCATTTCAGATGCCCACTTTTGGATCAGGTCTTTAAATTTGGGGGGTCTGATTTTTTTGAGTTCTTTTTTTTCAAAAGGTTTCAAACATTTATTGTTGACTCATTAGTGGTGATCACAAAACAAGATTCCTGATTGAGGATGTTCAACTGTCCAGCCAATGGTACTTTTTAAGCTTGATATGGTAATGAAACCTCAACCATGATAAAGAATGCATCATTTTGTGACTTCCATGAGAGAAATATGGTGCAGCTCATGTTCAGTTCCTTCCAGTCCCAGCTTGGTCCTCCTCCAGTACAACTCCTTATTACCAGTCTTCACCCGAATCCACAGAGGAATGAAACAGTTCTGCTTTTGCTTCTTGGCCAGGAATTGCTTGATTCTGAGTCTTGTGAGAAGACATGGTTAGGTTCAGAGGCAATCGCACACACACATTGGCAGATAGAAACAGAAGAGAGCTTGAGTTCTTTACATATTCTAGATAACAGTTCTTTTCCTGAGAAACAGCTGGCAAAAATTTTTTCCCACACTGTGAGTTGTCTCAGAAGGGGAAATTTAAAAGCTACTGAACAGGAGAAATAGGCATGAGGGTGCACATCTGTAATCCCAGCATAGCGTATCTTTTCACTGAGCCATCCACACTCCTGGCCTCTTTTTTATTTTTTGAGACAGGGTCTCACTATGTACTAAGTTATTAAGTTGCCCAGCCTGGGCTTGGACTTTGATCCTCCTGCCTCAGCTTCCCAGAACTCTAGGAATACAGGTGTGTGCCACCACACCTAGGTCTTGTCTCAGAATTTAAAAAGGACTGGGAATGCAACTCAGTGGTAGAGTGCCCCTGAGCTCAATCTCCAGTGACACATGGTAACAACAACAACAATAATAATATCATTTAAAACTAAAAAATTATATCACTTAGTGTTGTAGTCAAAGTGTGTAAGGGACTAGATTTAATACAGGACACATAATTTAGAGGATTATTTTATAATATTGACTCAAAAAGTCAAATGCAGAGGAATGCGAGACATCTGTCCACACAGTAGAGACCTGAAGAATCCAGCCGAGGCCTTGGATCCCATGGCAAAGTTCCACCCAAGTCCAGCTGAGGACCGAGAGCCCAAGGCAATGTCTCATACTTGTCTGTACTGAGGATCTGCACTGGGAAGGCCCAAAGGCCAGTGGTGGGAGCTAAAAAGTCTGGGCAGGGAGGGTGAAGGGTCTGTTCCACCAGGCTGAGAAGAGATCTGCACTGCAGCGAGGAAACCACACTCAAGGCAAAGATCAGAGCTCCCCTGGGAATACAGCCATCCAGCAATGGTGAGGACCCAAGCTCCTCCTCTGCTGAGGAGAACAGCCGAGTTCACATCAAGAAAACCAGCTGTGCCAAGCTGCTCCAGGAAAGTCAACAGCATACAATCTTCCTCTTCAGTTCTCTTTTTAAACTATTGTCAGCAATCCTCAGGTGGGTCTTTCACACCCAGAACCATGCTGGCTCAGTTTAGCTGGGTGCTCCAGGTTGACCATTAGTTAATCCACCACACTTAGGTTGGAAAATTTAGGAGGACGATGCCAGAAGTTGACAGGGCTCAGGGATCCATGGCTGGGCTTATGTGGGTGGCCTGTGCCCCCCCTTTCTTTTCCGTGAATACTCTCAAAGATCTTCTCACCCAGCCATAGGCAGAGGCACAGACAGACATTTGCCACGGTCATTTACGATGGGGGGCGGCCTCTGTTCCAGGATATCTGTGCATGAATGTGGGGATGCCTCGATTCAAGCTTCCTGCAGCCGCCAGGAGCAGCAGATTGGATGTTCCCAGGGTGGCGAGCATAGTTCTCCAAGATAACTAAGAAACAAAATAAGACGTATGTCAAAATGCCACTTATGTAAATTTAAAAGTGAAACAAATAATCCAATAGGAAACAAGGCAGAGATATGAAAAGACACCATGAAAAAGAAGATACGGATGGCAAATGAGTGCCTGCAAAGGTGTTCAGCATCATTTGTTATCAGGGAAATGCAAAGTAAAATCAGTGACCCCAGCCTGGTGGTGCACGCCTCTAATCCCAGCACTCAGGAAGCTGAAGCAGAAAGACTCCCTCAAGTTCAAGGCCAGGCTGGGTTACATGGTGAGTTTAAGGCCAGCCTAACTATATAGCAAGACCTTGTCTCAAAAGAAAGAAAGAAAGAAAGAAAGAAAG